TTTAGATACCAGGATGACGGGTCGATCTCTCTATTCATAGATTAATATAGTACAACATATTTAATATAATAATGCAATATGCAATGCAGTCTCTCTAGAGCAATTTACCTTAACAAGAACTCTAAGAAATGTGGAATTAGATCCATGTTATATAACATCTGAAATTCTAGTTGACAAGAGATGAACAATTGCTCTCTCTCTCTCTCTCTCTCTCTCTCTCTCTCTCTCTCTCTCTCTCTCTCTCTCTCTCTCTCTCTCTCTCTCTCTCTCTCTCTCTCTCTCTCTCTCTCTCATAAACACAAGACATGTGTGAAAGTCTTGTCTTATCTCACTCAGCCAAGATGTGCTAGCCTCCCATTGGCCATCCATAAAAGTTTTCCAATAATTATATCCACCCAACCTGCCCACCTAAAGAGCCAAGGATCAGAATTCTGATCCAAAATAATCAAAAATTAGAGCTACATACATAGGAATTGCATTGTGAGACCACTATAAATTTATTTTTGCCCTCTTTCATTTCTCTTTTGGGCAGATCATCTTAGACACAGCTTGGCATCATGCCAAGCCATCACAGCTCCAGGGCATCAAATGTTCCCTATGCCCAATCCTCACAAAGAGAAAAGACAATTGTAGATGTCATGCCTTACCAACACTTGATATATTTATTCTAATCAGGAGGATTGGGAAAAAAATTTAAACTCTCAGCTCTCTCGAGTTTGACAACTAAAAACACATATGTTTTCCTTATTTTATTCATGCACATAAAGGTTGTCTTTGAACATATGTTCAAGAGCTGGTTAAGAAGTTTTTTCTTCTTTCTCCGCACAAAGGTGGGATTGACATCTTTGCACAAGATGTGGTCTCAAGTTGTAACTTGGAAGTATCCTCTATCAGAAAAGTCGTGACTTAAGAGTGAAGTGTTTTCATGTTGTTTGGATTATACAAAATCTAAATTGTTTTACTTCAGGCAGTTAGGGATCAATCAGTGACAATTGTGAAATGATTGAGTTGTATGTGAAGTCATGGACTAGTTTGTTGGCAAGTTTGAGAGGGTTTGCTAACTACCAACATTAGCTGGGCAAATTACTAGCATAAACATAATGTCTTAAAATTTAAAATTGAAGAGGGAAAATGTACATGCCACTATGCCATGGTCATCACATGACATTAAGTAACTTCATACATTAACATCATATTCCCAAGGACATTTAGTTTGCATTTGGACTACCTTCAAAAGATCAGGTTACAGAAGTTCACAATGGGATATACCATATATACTACTATGGGTGGCAATGGCATTAGTTAATCTATTTATTTCAGTGGAAATGGCTCTCTATGAACAATGAATGAACTGACTTTCTCCACACAGATCTAAGACTTGGCCTAGAAAGAAAGATTTCAGAGATTCTTTGTATGCATATCTAGATCTAATTAAATGATCAAAAGTTCCACACTTCGCCTTCTCTCCTTTGTAGTGTTACCAAGCAAGATGTGAGCGAGAGAGATCACATGGCATTGAAGGCTGGCCATCCTCAACAGATTTTCCATCCAAGCTACTATAGCTGCCTAATCAGTTTGTTGGGAAGAGCTGGGATTTGGAACTTGTTTATTCAATGCCTTTTGGTGCTGATGGCTCAGTTTTGGAGCATTTTCAATGTTATGGAAATAAATTCTAAGACTGAACCGCTGTGGACTCTTTTGCCTTTGCTTGTGTGAAGGCTTTTTTGTTTTTTTGTTTTGTTTTTGTTTTCTTCTTTGCTAAAGCTCAATATTTTACTTAGATTCTGTGAGGGTGGCACTATTTTTTATTTATTTTTCCCTTGGAGGCTCTTCTAGGAATGGTTGTTTCCTTAGTCTTAGATCTGTAAACATAAGAATAGTGTTATAAGACTCTCTCCTTGCACCATACAGGCAAATTGAAAATGTTGTGAGCAAATTTATAGTGATGTGGAACTTGATATAGAGGAATTCCTTTGTGCTTTTTTTGCTATGCCAGAACGTGATCTCATCTCCTGGACAAGCCTCATCACAATGCTTGCCCAACACAGGCATTTGGATCATGCCAAGCTCGTCTTTGTCCCAGAGCAGGATCTTTGCTCTTGTTGGCTAGCATTTGCCTATAGCATAGAGTTCAGTGATGCTTTCCAGATCTTTTGGCATGATTGGGAGCCCAGATGGGATCTCATTTGCCTCATGCATGTTGCCATGCCAGGAGAATGTGGAGGAACTCATTTTGGTCCACGAGACTATGGGTGTATTTAAGTACAGTTTTAAGTATTTTGTAACATAACATAACATAGGAAAAATAAAGGAAAAAAAAGTAGATTTTATTGAGTGAAGTCCAGAAAAAGAGTACCAATGGTAATCACAAACACAAAATTGATTCAAACCTTGAGGGTTCACTAGGTAATTGGCTGCCCTGGCCTGTTAACCGCTTCATTCGGCTAGGTCTTGGAGCAGATGTTCTTGCACGAGTCACGACACGACATCGTGTTCCAGCATTGCATCAAACTTGAATTCTCCAGATCACCAACCTGGGCAAATGCTCCCAGCATCGCAGTCCAGGATGCCAGATCCACCTCCGGCATTGCATCAAACAATCACGCGGCATCGCCCAGCTCGCCGGACCGGGCATAAAAAACCAGCTGGTAGACGTCGGAAACTACTTGCACGATTTGACAAGCTCGATGCGGGCGTTCCTGTTCATCACAAATCCACACCACCATCGAACCAGGCCAGCTTGTAAGTCTGTATGATTCTAAGATCACCTCCATTTTATCTAAACATTAGCTTCCATGATGTCATTCTCATTCCATCAATTACACCTCTTCGGAGTTCGTGGTTTTAGCCTGGCGACTCCCTTTGATGCCCGAGCATCTTTCGAAGCAGAGCTTGGCGCAGCAGTTTCTTGCAAAACACTGCTCAATGCATACATTCTCACTCCGAACAATTCACGAGGGAACCCCTTTTGCAACTGGAGAAGGAAGCCAAAAAGAAAGTAATGAATAACTGGTATGCGCCGAGATATAAGAACTGACCTTGGTTTTTAATAGATGGAAACCAGCGCGCAGAAAAAGGTCTCGGAAATAAGCATCAGAGCGAGTGACGCTACTATCAAGTTTGTCAACCACAAAACCTGCAAGAGCACAGAATTGTTTAGCAAGCAAAAGAACTATATGAACTTACCATGCCTTGCGATGTTCTCTTTCAGCACAAAAAAGCCACCGGGTTTCAAACCAATCTGCAAACAATCACGCATGAAAGCCATCAGAGATAAAGCTAAGGCAATGCGAAAGCGAACTCTCACGTCAGCGCGTCGGAAAAACGCAACAAAGTCATCGTCCGTGAGATGGCCAATGCACCATTGGACCCAAATCACATCGTATCGATGAGGCTCGGGTGTAAATTCCTGTAGACACCTTAAGCAAGAGGACGATCAAAACGAATTCACGAATCACCTGGAGCGGCGTGCAGAAGAAGTTGACGGCTTTGTGCTGCACATTTTCTGGAACGTCGGAGGTCAATCGTTTCTTGGCAGCATCTAAAAAATGCCTGACCGGCTCGACTAGATCCACCTGAACAGCTGATCTCACAAACTTATCATCCATACGGGAAAACATGAAAGAAGGAACACTCTATCACCTCATGAAAATGCCGCAAGAGCAAATTCTCGGTTATCCTTCCAACACCAGCCCCACAATCTGAAAAAAGTACAATCTAGATTAGAGAACAAGGCAGGAAAAGAAGAAAACCAAGTCTTTCTCACCAAGAGCCACGAGTTTTCTATTGACTTTAGTCGGAAGAATGCGTTCTTTAAGCAACTCCGTGAGAAAAGCATTGCTATCAATCACATCCCTGTTGCTCACTTTGCCAAATCCACCCAGCACGCCGTCCACAGTCGGATCTACACCCTGATACAAGAATTCTACCGTAAAAACCAACAAAAATCTCAGCCTAGAGCTCACCTCCCAGTAAGAAATCCCCTTCTGGTACCACTCCTTCCTCTTGGGACTCTCGGCGATGCCACTCCCCGCCTCCTCTTTCCACATATCCTCCCTGCTCGCGTAGACCTTGCCATTGGAATCAAGCCCGCCTTCGTCCATCCTCCTCGCCGCCGCGGCCAAGAGCACAGGGGCACTGGCAGGAGACACGAGCCCTAACATTCTAGGGCACCCGTTTCCCGCGCTTTTCCGCTGGCCATGTCATCACAGCCAGTGGCGTCCACGAGCCGTACGATATGACATGCCAGCCGAAACAAAAAATACAATGATTCCAGTCTATCCACAAGACGCTTTGCCATCCTGTTACCCACTCTCAATGTGGAACGTAGCCAGCTCTAGTACACACAAAGGACAACGAGGATTTGCTTAGTTTGCTAAAGTAAGATTAAACAGTAGAGGGGCAAGAATTGTTAGCGCTAATGCGGGCGTACGGATAACCCCCGAAGTTCGCTGGAATTTTCTCTCGCGTTACGTACACTCGCAATGACGCTGGCGAGGAGCACAATAGCGACCCAAAAGGTAAAGACAATGGAGTCCAATCCAGCCACAGGAATCGAACCCTGGCTAGCCGCTAAAAGGGGGGCAGACAATCAAGCCTGGGACAGCGATGTTCCATTTGGATATATATGTTTAAATCGCTTTGGTGAGTGGAAGGACGTGGCGCCCATGGACGGCCAGAGATTGTGTTTGTGCACGTGATGAATCCGACCGTTGGATGGGCCCCCAACGGCTATGGAGCGCTGACGTCGCGGGGCCGTCCGATCTAGGTCTCTTGCGGCATTCGAACTGGGGGCCCATGGAGGACCCCACGAAGGCGAGGGCGTGTGGCGCTGCGAGGAGCCGTGGCACAGCGCGGATCGTCAGCGGGTAGGTCTTCTCCTAGAAATCCATCGAGCGATTGCGCTGTGGTTTCTAGATCATTCCTTTTCCTTTGGGGATTGTTTTTTTCCGCTGGGATTGTGGAGTGTTTAAGTTGAGATGTCCTCGCTGGATTAGTGTGCGTCGGTCAGTCGCGACAAATCTTTTTTTCTAAGACAGCATTATGACTGGAGCTTGGAACTGTTCCAAGTCTTTTTGGAAATGTTGTCGTTAGAAGGCGGTGGTGGTCTCTTTGGAGTGTGTTTCTTTTGGCGAGTTTTCGCTTTTTTGCTTCACTGGTAAGGGATCCAGAGAGCTCCTTTAGATTTGCTTAAGGTACTCCTGGGGATAAAATATAATTTTTTGGCGCGGCTAGCTCTCCTCCATACGCGTTTCCTTTTTTGCAACTTTCAAGGCAAGCTACTCGGGCCGGTGCCGAGATTCCCATTTTTCTTTCCTCTCTCTCGTGTAGCAGGCCAACCAACCAGCATCATTCCTGCTCCTTCCATTGGCTATAGAATCAAATGCTTGCCTTCAAACTCCAACTGTTGAACGTTACACTCTCGTCATTTTGAGTCTGTCCCTCGATTGCTTCTGGTGAGATCTCACAGGAATCATCCTTCCACCGGCAATTGAATCAATTGGTATGTTTGGTGCCTCTTGAGTTCTTAAAACGCTTTTGTCCTGGCTCTCTCGCTACTTCTCTGATGCGTTTCTAAGCGAGTGTAGCGTTTTTTTGCAGGCATCTATGCCAACGGCAATGGAAAGGAGTAGCAGCAGGCGGTCTGAGGTGCTTATCAAATCCGTGAATTTTCGTGTGTGACACGGTGCTAGTTTTTGTGCAGTCGTTCTGGCCAACATCGGCAGTGAAGAAGCTCTTCAACTTGGGAGCTGACGCCAACGTGTTCAGTGCAGACGAGGACGAGGACAATTCAGGTGCGATGGTTTTGTGCCGAGATCTTTCTGACGCTCCTCTGTTATTGCAGTGAGGAACAGAAAGGTCTTTCGAAGATACTCTGAGTCGGGGATATCTCACACGCACTTCACCTACAACCAGAACTTTAGGTAGTCCTTTGATTGATTCTATGTGCTTGCTTGCATTCTTAAGCTTCAAAAGTGTTTTTGCCGGAACTTGGAACGTTGCTGGGAAGCCTCCTGCCGACGACATTGATTTAAGCGAATGGCTCCTTGTTAAGGATGCAGTTGACATCTATGTGGTCGGGTATGTGTTTTGCTTATCGATGAAGAGCTTTCTTACGGAGTTGGCTCGCAGGTTTCAAGAGATCGTCCCTCTGAATCCTGGAAATGTCCTAGGCGCCGAAGACGAAGGACCCGCTACCAAGTGGGAAGCTATCATCCGGCGGACACTTAATGGAGACCGGAGACAAACAAAAAGCGCTCCTTCGTCGCCCTGGAGGGAAGGTGTTGACGATAACTCCGAAGCCAGTCCTGATCACACGGAAACATCACAGCCTGAGAACTTCAACAAGCACAAGAAGGCACACAGCAGTTCAGAGCTGGAATTTGGAAGCTCGACACAGAGTAAAACATCCTACGTCCGTATGATAAGCAAGCAAATGGTCGGGATCTTCATCACCGTTTGGGTTCGGAAAGACTTGCGGCAGTATATCCACAATGTTAAAGTTTCCTGTGTTGGATGCGGCCTAATGGGCTACTACGGCAACAAGGTAGCGTCTCCAGCATGTTTTCTTTGGTCGCACTAAAGTCTCTTACAGGGGTCTGTTGCTGTGAGCATGAACTTTGATCAGACAAGCTTTTGCTTTGTGTGCACGCACTTGACATCTGGCGAGAGAGAAGGCGATGAACTCCGCAGGCATTCAGATGTCATTGAAATCTTAAGACGAACTACTTTCTCGAAGTCAGATGACGGCTCTCCAGCAAGCATTCTCGCTCACGAGTACGTTCGCATTCTTGCCTTCAATCGTTTCTCAAAGATCTTCGTAATCCTGCAGTCGAGTTCTATGGCTGGGCGACTTAAACTACCGGCTGTCATTGTCAAACGGAGAGACCAAAACTCTTTTGGACAGCGAAAACTGGAGTGCGCTTCTACAAAAAGATCAGGTACTTTACTCTGAAGTAGACATGCTTCCAATCAAGGACTGATTTTTTCCCTCCAGCTCAAGCTTGCCCAAAGCGTGGGTGGAGTTTTTCATGGATGGCAGGAAGGAGCAATCGAGTTTGCTCCGACTTACAAGTACAAAGCAAACTCCACCGAGTATTCGAACGGCGGAGAGAAACAAAGAACACCAGCCTGGTAGGCATATAAGTTTTGTGAGTCAACACGCTTGCTAAGAATTCTCTAACGAATAGGTGCGATCGAGTACTGTGGAAGGGAAAAGGACTTAGACAAATCAATTACTATCGGACAGAATACACTTTCTCGGACCACAGGCCAGTGACTGCCATGTTTGTGGCCGAGGTGGAATTGCTAAAGAGACGCGGTCCCTTGAGAGCGGCAGACGATGCTTCCACTCTGGACTTCAAGAAAATGCACCTGGGAATTGTTCCACTGTGTGGAATCGAGGTAAGATTTACGTTGCTTGAAGCTACAAACTCGCTAAAAGAACGATTTTTTGGATGCGATTCCAGGAGAAAATAAGAGACGCGTTTTTGCTTCCAAACGCAACGATATGATCGAGCTATGGAGGAAAGATTTTTTGTTTCGGGAGGAGTGTACAGGGAGGAACTGGAAAGCTCTAGCCAAAGTTTTATCATACTTGTAAGATTGTTGTAAAGGCAAAGGTATTGGTTGGTAGTATGTTGTTTCGTGGCCTACTGTGAGCTTGCCAAGTGGCGCTCTTTGTTTTTTTCTTGTCACGGGCAAGGGCTTGCGCCTATCATTTCATCCCATCTTTCGATCGATCGATCGATGGCGCTGGCGGCGAGCGGCATTCTCCAGGTACGCTGCGCCGATGAGATTCGCGACTCGCGCGCCCTGGCGCCTGTGCAATGCCGTGGATCAGCGCTGCGAAAATCGCTGCGCGCGCAATATTTCGCCACGAGGATGCATTGCCTCGCCACCGCGAGGAGAACAAGGCTGTGGCGGGCGAGAGCTGTGGCGGATTCAGGGCCGCAATCGCGGAGGATTCACTATCACAGGCACATCTCTGTAGCATTGTCTTAAAACTTTCGTGCTAATCTTTACTCTGTTGTGTAGGAACGATGGAAAGTATGACGAATGGGGACTTCATGTCTGGGGAAGTCCGGAGATTGCCACAAAATGGGAGAAGCCTTTATCTCCATCGGGATCGGACAAGTTTGGAGTCTACTGGGATTTGATCGGCCAAGGAGTCGAAAACATCAACTTCATCATTCATCGTGGAGATAGACAGGTAGATGGCTGTGGTAGAAGTTTTTCTGGCATTTTGCCTAATACTGATATGCAGGCATTCTTCTGCTGCCATTAGGATGGTACTGGCTCGATGAATTCTCAACACAAGGCTGCGTGGATTGTGTCGGAGCGGCCCACAATGTTTTACGATGAACCGGACCTTGATAACTTACCTCAGGTCCGATTAGTAGTGATTTTATTCGAGCTCGATGCTACTGTTTTTTCTGTTCTTCCAGGGGAATTTGAATCTTGCAAGAGCTTTCTGGGTAAATAAGGACTTGCTGGCCTGGAATGTGGATGCACAAGATGGAAGCTTCTTCTTACATGCAAGCCAACACGCACAACTACAACTTACTGGGCGAGGCATAGAAGGTGGAATGTAATTGTCCCGATATTCGGTTCTGAATTGCTTGCTGGCTTTAGGTGCCGACACTATAATTCAGCTGGAAGTTGACACGCATGATCTTCCGGCCGAGGTAAACTCGTATTGCTTGTGGCGCGAAATTACCAATTCGACCTTTGCAGGTGCTGGAAAGGCTCCCACATATTTCTGGCTATCATGCTCTACGGCTACCTCGTGACGCGGACTGGAAGAAACTTATCAAATGTCAATTGGCAGTAGGGGCAAGTAATGGTAAGCGCACATGAAGAATCATATCTTTGTTCAATATATGAGTACAGCTTATGGAGCCCCTATTGATGCATCTGGAGTACAGCTTCCTAGTGTACTCGATGATGTCTTGCGTTATGATGGTCCACTGGGAGTGACATTCTCCGAAACAGAGTGTACTTTCAGTATTTGGGCTCCCACTGCTCAGGTTTGTTTCTCTCAAGTTCAAGTTTACGAAGTTTTGCCTTCAGAATGTCCGTCTTTTTCTGTACACAGAACCCTCAGGAGGAGAACCTGAGGCCGTTATTCAGCTTGACGAGAAACATAACGTTTGGACTGCATCGGGACCGAAAGACTGGGTTGGCAAATATTATTTGTATGAGGTGACTGTCTTTCATCCGTCCACATTACAAGTTGAAATTTGCCTCGCAAACGATCCCTACTCGAGAGGGTAAGTCTGTCCTCGTAGAGACTTGTTTTTTTTCTTAAGTTGTGATGTTTGCTCAGCTTGTCTGCTAATGGAGAACGATCTCTCGTTATCGATCTTTCTGACCATAATCCTGAAAACTGGGATCGTCTCTCATCTGAAAAGCCCATGCTTCATTGTTTCAATGACATGGCCATTTACGAGCTTCACATACGGGACTTCAGGTAATTTTTTGTCTGTACCTTTTAGAGGTGGGCATTATATTTATTTTCTCTGTCGTTTCAGTGCAAGAGACCAAACAGTACCTGAAAATCTACGAGGAACGTTTCTAGCATTTTCTGAAATGGTTTGTACAGATTCAAAGTATTGCTTTTGTTCATGTGGCTGGCGTGTCGCAGGAATCTGCTGGAGTGAGGCACCTGAGGAGTTTAGCTGAGGCAGGTCTCACTCATGTACACCTTCTTCCTAGTTTTGACTTCGGAAGTGTTAATGAAGTCAAGGAAAAATGGAAGACGCTTGGTAAACGCTTCATATCAAAATTACCTTGGGGTCTAAGCACAGCAACTTCATTATTGCTAGATTACGACAGACTGGAGGGACTTCCACCAGATTCCGAAGAACAACAGGAGGCTGTTGTAGCTATACAAAACGAAGATGGATTTAATTGGGGGTACCTTTTCCCAGGAACTAGAAAGTAAATGTTTGCTTTTTAAATGGTGCAGATACGACCCCGTCAATTGGGGTGTTCCCGACGGAAGCTACTCCACGGATCCAAACGGACCCTGCAGAACATTTGAATTTCGGTCAATGGTCCAGGTAATTGTTAATGCTCGTGACTTTTCTGAACTAACGGATATTTCTATCAGTCGATAAATCGCCTGGGCCTGCGAGTTGTCTTGGACGTTGTGTACAACCATTTGCACGGAAATGGTCCTTCGGATCATCTCTCTGTTCTGGATAAAGTAAGCTTTTAAATCTGCTGGCACTAATTTTCACTCTTTGAATCAAATGTAGGTTGTTCCCGGATATTATCTTCGTCGAAACAAAGACGGAGTCATTGAAAACAGTACATGCATGAACAATACTGCGAGCGAGTTTTACATGGTCGACCGGTTGATAGTTGATGACCTGCTGATGTGGGCGACACAGTATAAGGTCTGGAATCTGTCTTTCGTTTATTCTTACCGTCGCCTTGATCGATGCTAGGTGGACGGGTTCAGGTTCGACCTTATGGGACATATCATGAAAAGAACTATGGTTTGCATCTCGTGCCAGTTTGGAAGTTGGACTAATATCTTGTTTCAGATGCGAGCTAAAACTGCAGTTCAGAGTTTAACTGAAGAGAAAGACGGTGTGGATGGATCTAAAATTTACTTGTGCGGTTTCGTGCCTTTGCTTTTGGCATAATTGTAAGCCCTGTTCGTTTTCAGATACGGAGAAGGCTGGGATTTTGGAGAGGTTTACGGAAATGGACGAGGTGTTAATGCAACGCAACTTAACCTGCCAGGAAGTCAAATCGGCAGGTGACGCAATGTCTTTTTGTTTGAAGTGTGTTCTTACAATATCAGAGTGGCAGTTTTAACGATCGAATGCGAGATTCGGCTATTGGTGGATCTCCTTTCGGTGATCCTCTCGAGCAAGGAATATTCACAGGCCTTTCTTTGCAGGTGCCTCTTGTGTTTTCTTTTTTTTTTTTTTTGTTTCTTTCTGACCTGCATTTGCATTTTCTAGCCAAACAGTTTACCTCAAGGCGATGAAGAGAACATGGCCAAGAATTTGGCTCGCGGCAAAGATAGGATAATCGTAAGCTTGCTCAAAATGGACTTCAAGAGCTCATGTTTTCTTACAGCTTGGATTGGCCGGAAATTTAAGAGACTACGTTTTCGTGGATTTTGAGGGTAGAGAGGTAACTATTTTTGTGGCTCTCTCGTGGAAAAGAAACCAAGATCTCTTTCACAGGTTAAAGGGTGTGAGGTTTTGACGCACGATGGTAAACCCGTTGCCTACGCTGCGTCTCCAACTGAAATAGTATGCTTGATAAATGTATTTCTGTTTGCCTACTGATTTTGCATTTTGTAGATTAACTATGTCTCTGCTCATGACAATGAAACTCTCTTTGACATCATCATGATGAAGGTTTGTGTTTGTGTAAAGGCTTCCTTTTGTACTTATCGTCTTTTTCATAGGTGGCGGAAAGTGTGAGCTTGGAGGATCGCTGTCGTGTCAATCATCTCGCTTCGAGCATAGTTGCATTGTCACAGGTAGATAGCTTTTGATTTATGTTATTTCGCTTAACCATGTCAATCAGGCAATTCCTTTCTTCCATGCTGGAGAGGATATGCTTCGCTCGAAGTCACTTGATCGCGATTCTTACAATTCGGGAGACTGGTTCAATAGGTCTGGCGCAGTGAAGCAAAGTTCTGCTCTCATTTGGCATTTCCAGGCTTGATTTTTCGTATGAAACAAACAACTGGGGAGTCGGATTGCCACCGAAAAGCAAAAACGGAGAAAAATGGCCAATGTAAGCTCGCCTCGCTGCTTTACTCGTCTCTCATAGGCTGACACAAGCTTCCTTTCTCAGCATGAGAAAGCTTCTAGGTAACGAGTCATTGAGACCGAGCAAGGATCACATTCTCGCGGCCGTAGCAAACTTCCAAGATCTGCTTAAGATCAGATTCTCGTCCCCACTCTTTCGACTGAAAACCGTCAACGCCATCCAGGTAAGCACGCTGCAGTTTCACACAAACACTCAATTACTATCGGGGTTCTTCCAGGCTAGACTGCAGTTCCACAACACCGGCCCTGCGGCAATTCCCGGGATTATAGTCATGAGCATTCATGATGGCGATGAAGGAGAGCCTGGACTCCTCCAGATCGACTCCATGTATGCTCTCTCTCTCTCTCTCTGTAAGGAGCTTTGGGATCTCTCTAACTTATTCTCTGGCAGCTTTCGGATCATCGTCGTCGTAATCAATGCTCGTCCGGACGAGGGAATCCTCAAAGTTGGCCTCTTGAGAGGCTTCAAACTAGAACTCCACCCCGTCCAGGTAACGCACTGCCTATATTCTTCGCCTGGAAAGAAAGGAACTAACTCTGGCTTCCTCCAAACAGGCCGCTTCCCAAGACGAGCTCGTCAAGGCCTCCAGTTGCGACAATGGAACCTTCGCTATTCCCAAACGAACAACCGCGGTTTTCGTCGAGAAGCGATGCTGCTGATTGACTTCGTCCTCTTTATTTTCCAGACAAGAACCATCCTTTCCAGGAAAAACGAAAAAACAAAAAATAAAAAAATTCTAGATTCCTTGGTCATCTCCCAATCACATAATGCCCTTTAGAGGCAAATGTTCCGAGAGCTGTGTCATTTTACTCGAAGGCCAAGTGCATACATATCTTTATCACCCAAGCAAATCCAAGCTTTTTATTCCATTTAGTGCCTGATCGCCATAGAGTCGAGCTCCATCTTCACTGCCAATGCCAACAACTAAGAAGAATCACTTCCTAATCTTCTTGAAGTGAACCAATTTACATGTAAGGCAGCCTTCTGATAGATCTTTGCTTTTTCCAAGTTAATGTTGATAGTTTCAAATGTATCGATGGATGGATGAGAAAGGCCATGCAAAGTCTAGAGGTGCTAGATCCCTCTTTATAAACCCTCTCCGTCTCATATCAAGGACAGTTCTTCCTCGTTTCTCTCATTCCATGGTGGCAACAATGGAATGTTTCCTCTTGGGGTCCATTCGTCCAAAAGAAAGTCTTAGTTCCAAATCTCTACTTTACCCGCAGAGCTCCAGTTGACTATGAAATTTAAAGTCACGAAGAAGAGCTAGCGACTGTCTTCCTCGCTGGACGGTGAGTTGTAGTCGTACGTATCGGTACCGCATTGGAGGCTTGCTGCAACCGGATTTCGAGGAAGAAAGAAACAAAAGTTGTGAAGGAGAACTCTGGAAAAGAGAAGCGAAACCGAAGTGTTTTTCAAAGGACTCCGAGTCGTGGAACCTGCTCATGACTCGGCAGACGTTTGAGCCTTGGCGCTTGGGCTTGACAATCACATTACTTGCCGCTGGATCAATAGGCTTGTACAGCGGTAGTTCTTCCCTCCCTTCGGCTTGCTTGTGCCATGTCTTGCATCGTTATTGCATCGAGGCGAGCTTTCCTTCCTTCTCTTCTTCTCTCACGCGAGCGCCATACCCTCTCCGAAGTGCTTGCCCTGCACCTCCTCGATCGCCTGCTCATTCGCCTAACCTTTGAGCTCTTCGATTTTCATATTGGTAAACATCGTATTGACTTAATTGACTGTTGTTGACTTTGTCACTAAACACCTAGGCCTCCGCACTCTTTGACGTTTGAGTCCTGGCACTGCTCCGGCAATAGCCATCTTGAGATGTGGGCGTTTCTGGGAATGTCTCCGTTGATGTAGGATGCAACATGCAGAGAGAAATACTATATCCTATAGTTTGTCCTCAACCCAAAATACTTAATAAATCGCAAGCTTGAGATTCCAAAATGCCTCAGGGACGCCATGAGTCGCTCTCCTAAGTTTTCGGGAAGTTGTCTAATGCTCGGAACGACGATCCTTGCTTGACAAGGAGAAGGAACCAAAAAGAAGAAAGTAGAGCTCTCTTACAGTCCCTTGAAGGCCTCGGCTTGCAGCCTTTCGAGCGGATCTTCGCCGTTGACGACCCCGTCCCGCAACGGCGGCTGCTGATGCTGATGCTGATGGTTGAGATGTAAACGCAAATGGTTGCGCCCGTCCTCGATGGCGATGGCGGAGGAAGGAACGTCCAGTGGAAGAAAATAAGGATAAGCGGTGCTTAACACGGGAGGCTGGTCCATCCCCCCAGTCCTGTTCAAGAAGCGCCGTATCAAGCCCCGCAAAAATGGAGCCATGGTGTCCGGCTCGTGTTCATGGTAGTACATGAGCCCGCCCATGCACAAACAAAACAGTGCTACCTGTTTCAAGGAGAGAGAAATACAAGTCAAGTTTGTGAGAATCCAAGGAAACACTAGAGGAGAAAGAGAGGCTTACTTCGGCGTGTTTGATGTTAGGCAGCAAGTGCCTGTTTATCAAAATATACCACAGCGAATCCGCCGCTCGGGGAAGAACATACAGCGCTAGCTCAGAGCGCCGGCCTTTCTTCTCCAGCATTGCCGACAGAGACGCGATGGCTCCCGCGAACCAGTAGATGAATCTAAAGTCTTTGGTCACGGCTTTTCGCTGTAGACAAATGATTCCCTGGGACCAAAAGCCAGAGCTAAGTTACTATCACCTGTAATGCCAGAGACAGCATACCTGGTAGATGCCAACAAATGCGGACAAGAAGTAAGTAGATCGCACTGCGCTCTTGAGCGCGTTCCAGAATGTGTGCATTGGTGCCTGCATGAACTGCAAGAGCAAGTGGAATGAACAAACGAGATGGAAAGAGAAGCAAAGAAAAAGGTTACCTTTTGGACGTTCAAGACCACGAACGGCACGAACGTGAGAGAGAGATACAGCGGGAAAGTCTTCTTGAATGTCGCGCGCATTGCTCTCATGTTGTGCTGGAAGCAAAAAGGAGATTCCGGGTGGACGCACGAGCAAGGTATGATAGGAGCATTAGGCTGCAAACCCGTGATAGCTTGACCTGTGCGTCTTTCCACAAAGGCTGAAAGAGCCGCTATGTCGATTGGACCACCTCGGCAACTCTCGCGCACGGCTTTTAGAACTGGCCTAGCAATGGGGCCAGTCTTTATGATAAACTCGAGGTAGGATTCCGGTAAAGTTTCTGGCCTCATCACGTACGCGTACATGATCTGAAAGATTTCAAAATGAGACTGGAAACTAGCGTGAGATTGGAACTTATACCTGCGCGGTAGCCAGGGAGAACAGCAGAGTATCGCCATGCTTCCAGTGGCTTCCCCAAAAATGGAACTTGTCCTTCGCCTTTGCCGAGTTGTATGTGCACTGCAAGCGTCTTATCTCAGGAAAACTTCGAAGGAACCAAATCATGAAACCTGCTAGTACCTGTGCAACTCTTGCGAGCAAATACAGAGCAAAAGTCCGCCTTTTGGCAGGATCATCCAGCGAGAGCACAGACAGCCCAGCAAAAGCTCCAGCTATAAAACTGTGGGGAACGTAAGGCTAGATAACACAAGAGAGAAAAGGCGGACGCTTACACGTTCAGCGGAGTATCCTTGTTTCGAAATCTCCGTAGAAGGCATCGAATGCCATGGAAAGCTCCAGCGAAGCCACCGAAGAGCAAACCAGTCCGGCATGCTTCCTCCCTCACAATAAGATTTTTCTCGGACAATAGCAACTGCGTATTTCCATCAACACGGAAGAAAACGAAGACGTCACTTACTTGTAAATCGAGAAATGTGTAATGGGGTCTCCTCTTCGCAAGCTTGAAAGCCCTGAGCAGCACGCCAATCCCAACTCTCACACCATACGCCAGAAGAAAGCTCTGGCAAAGGCTCCCAATCGCATTCGCGATGCAAGAGTCTCCATGGTGACAAAGAGCATGCCTCCCATCGTACAGCGACCCCTCCGGATCTTTCCCATGGCTCCTGTTCAGCGCCTTGATCGCCTCTCTTAGCCGGGCCTCCGCCTCGCGCAACCGCCTCTCGGCCTCGGCCTTCTCGATCGAAGCTCTCGCAGCTCGCTCCTTGGAGTTCAATGCCGTGACCACAATCGGCGCCAAGGGCTTCTCCAAGAAATCCCCGTGATGATGCGATGCCATGGCGCCCGATCCAAAACCCAGCGGCCAGCGGAAGAACTCATGAATTTCGCATCTCAGGAGCCAACAATCCCTCGATCCTGTCCTCCGCTCGATCCCGACACGAATCGATCGAAATGCCCGCTGCCCGGTTACATGCACCTAGAAATCGCGAAGATCGCGAAGCACACCTGGATCCCTGCGAATATCACGAAATCGTGACGATCATCGACGCGCCATCGCATTGCCCTAAAACGAGAATTTCAAAAACCCTATCCGGCCTTTACGCCGAGTGTCGCTTTCATCTCGCCTGTTGGCATATGACACGTGGTCGGCCGGCGGCTTTTTCCAGGTGACTTGGCACGATTATAGACGTATGGTCAATCGAACGGCCAATGGACTAATGGAATCTGCTCCCTCCACATCTTTCGAGAGTTTTTCTAGGGCAAAACTCACACGAATCAAAGAAGAGATTGGGATCGCAACTTCGATCAAGGAATGTGGGAGGCTTAGAGATTTGTCGAGAGGGCAGGCAATTCACGCGCAAGTTGCCGACTGCTGCTCCACATTCCTTTCGAATCTCTTGATCGAGATGTATGGGAAGTGTGGCAGAGTGAAAGAGGCGGTAGCGATCTTCCAAGGGATCCATAAACCCAACGTCTTCTCAGCCAACATGATGATCAAGACATATGCCGAGAATGGGCATCTGGAGCTCGCTCGAGGGGTGTTCGATTCCACTGAGAAAAAAGACCTCGTGTCGTGGAACACTATCCTTGCAGCCTATGTCAGCGCTAAAGATCTTGAGGAATCTAAGAAATTGTTTGATTTCATTCCCTGCAGAAACGTTCTCACCTGGACTGCTCTGCTCCAAGCATATGCCGATGACGGGAATCATTCCAAAGCTATAAAGCTTTTTGAGAATATGCCGGAAACGACTGTGGTATCCTGGACTGTGATGCTGGCAGCATTCACAAGCGCTGGGGATATACTAGGTGCTTGGAGGATCTTTCAAGAAATGCCCGAAAGAAATGCTGTGAGCTGGACGGTCATGATGCAGGCAAATGCTACTCTTGGGCATCTTGAGGAATCGAAGAGAATCTTTCTCAGCATGCCGGAGTGGAATGTGGTCGCATGCACGGCCATGATCCACTTACATATAGAGGCTGGGAATCTCCAGGATGCCCAAGGAATCTTTCACAACTCGATGGCTGAGTGGAACGTAGTATCGTCTAATGTCCTCATTGCTGGCTATGGAAACCAGGGGGATATCCACCAGTCAAAAAGCATATTCGACAACGCCATGGAGCGAGATGTGATCACTTGGACAAGCCTTCTGGTAGCGCACGCCCAGAATGGGCATCTGGAAGATGCGAAATGCATATTCGACTCCATGCCAGAGTGGGACACCACTGCCTACAACGCAATGCTAGCTGCGTTTGCAAGCAACGGAAATCTACAAGATGCCAGGAATATCTTTGATTCGATGCCTCACAAAGACGTGGTGACGTGGACATCACTGTGCGTCGCATATGCCCAGGCAGGGCATCTATGGGATTCCATGGCCCTGTTTGGGAATATGCCAGACCGCAACGAGGTATCATGGAATGCGGTCCTCGTGGCATTGTCACGGGGAGGGAATCTTCGTGAGGCAAGGAATTTCTTCGAGAAGATGCCACGCTCGTGCTTCGTCCAAGCAGTGACATGGAACTCCATGCTCGCGGCATATTCCCAGTCTGGGAATCTCGTCGACGACCTGGCCACATTCCACGCGATGCTGCTCGAGGGTTCCAATCCGGACGAACTCTCCTTCATCCCGTTGCTCAGCGTGCTCGCCCACACGGGGAAGATCGAGCAGGGCTGCCGCTCCTTCGCGTCCCTCGCCAGCGATCACAACCTCGCCCCGACGCGCGAGCACTTCAGCTGCGCGATCGACATCCTGGGCCGATCCGGGCAGCTCCAGGAGGCCGAGAATCTCCTCAGGGGAATGCCATTCCGCCCCGATCCAGTGGCGTGGGCGACGATCCTCGGCGCGGGAGCTGTGCAGAGCGATTCCCCGGCCAGCGCGCGAGCGGCCAGAAATCTCTTTGATATCTCGCCCAAATGCCATGCCCCAATTTAGGGTTCTTCTTCGTTTAGGGTTCTTGGCGAGGTTCAAGCGCGATGGCGGAGACGGTGGTGCGCGGCCAGAAGGGCATGAGCTCCGTGAAGGAGCTGCCCGTTCTCCAGGACAGGCTCCCACACAAGCTCCCACCCGTGAGGTATGGCGCTAGAATCCCTAACACAGGCCCCAGCGGCCTCACCGTGATGGCCGTGGTGGGATTCATGACGTTTTGGGGACTGTACAAGGTCGGGCAATTCAACAGATATCGCAGGTATGCATTCTTACCCGCATTCTTTCCTCTAGCTCCTTTTCTCCTCTTGGGTTTGATCACTCGCTGTGCAGTTTTTGCAATTTTCTCCTCTTAGTTTCTCGTTTCTTCTCTGGTTTTGACCTGAAATACGCAGCTTTGCAATCTAGCTCGTTTTCTCCTCTTTAGTTTTTCGTTTCTTCTCTGGTTCTGATCTCAAATTCCTGTCTCGCTACGCAGTCTTTGCAAACTCGAGAAGAAAGCCTGCCGCTTCGCAATCACACCCTACATTCTCGCCGAGCAGGACATAAGGTAAGGTTTTCCGAGCTACAATTATACTTCGATTCTAATTCCAAGCTTCGGTTCTTGCAGCTATGCGAATGCTCGTAAGAAGCAGCTGGAAGAGGAAGCCCGGATCATGGCCAACGTTCCCGGCTGGGTGGTCGGAGAGAGCGTCTATCACACCAAGAGATGGATGTCTCCGATGAGCGATATCTTCCAAAACCGAGAGTGGCGACTGTAAAAAATCAATCCATCCAAGCCAAGCTTGTATGTAGACTCGGTCCTTTTATTTCGCACCACCTGTAATAAGCTCACTATAAGTAGGAGGGAGTGGATTTTGGTTCTAGTCAACGACGCTGACTAGGATTTAGTCCAGTCAATTTCGTTTACTAGGGTTCGTCAATTACGTTGACTGGTCACTTTAATACATTTTCGCTCCGAGCGTTGTTCGTTGGTTTGTTCTTATCGCCATGCCACTCCAAAAGAGAAAAGATCTCTTGGATTGACCTTCTAGATGCCCGTGACTTTCGTCGCGATATGTATGACAAGAAAAGATAATTTGCCTCTTCTTCCGTTGCTTGACGGCATTTCTAGATTTTTGGTCTCGAGGTCAAAATGGCGGAAAGTCGCCGCTTTAGAATCCGGTCCCATGTTCAAACCCTGTGCTCTGTAGCCGCCGGCCAGGTGTCGCACGCTCGATTCCTGCCAGGCCAAAAAAAAAACCACAAGTAGCGGCGACCATTATTATCATTATCAGCACGCATTTTGTTTTAACGCGCCACTAGTCGCCATCGAAATAACATGACCGATGTGAAGTTTTTACCACAGTACTGTCAGTGTAGATTCTTTACCGAGGTGACTCTTTTCCACCGCCGGACAACGCCCACCGTCGGATGCGAGCCCTATCGCCCAAGTGTGTGGTCAGTACGGCCCCGCCGCCGTGACAGCTGGGACCGTTATCTACGGCGCGCCTGGTTCGAATTCCAGCGGCCCAGATTTGCCCACCCGACGTGCGAATATTCCTGCGAATCGTTTCTCATCGGTTTTGTCAAGTGTGGTGTGCCTTTCAAACGGAGTTTTTGGATCGATCTCTTTCTCTCGATCGAGTTCTCTGGGCTGCGAAAGTTCCACTGGACCGGATCATCATGATTGGTCACACAGGATCACCCAGATGAGTGGAGCGGAGCATTTCTCCGGAATGCGGGCAATAGTTTTGGTCTCCTCTTCTTTATTTTTTTCCTTTTCTTCCCAAAAATCTCTGCAACGGCGAGTGCGACTGCGTAGCGGCAGCAAGCGGCGCAGCCTTTGAGAAATCCATCCCCTCCACCGCATCTTCGTGTCTCAAAAAAATCATAGCTTTTTCCACTCTCTCTCTCTCGCTTGGCTCTTTTTCGAGCTCTGTGAGCGCATCGCAGAAGAAGTATCATCGAGTCATCCCATCATTGCTTTATCGCTTCCATTGTCTGGCTTCTCTCTTGATCTCCATCGCTCTAGCAGGTCAAATTGTGATGATCAGAGCAAGGGGGTCCCTGCGCAATAGTGAGAGTGAAAGCGGTCGAGCTAGCCTTGCAGTGAGCAATCAATTCCATTTGCGTCCAAAGCTTTTCCTTTTCTCGCTTTCCTCTTTTTCGCTTAGCTCATACAAACAGGAATCGGTGTTTTCAAATCCTACGCATTCATGTTTCGTGGGCCACGCCGACCAGCACCACGCCCACAAAGGTCCAACGCTATAAAGCATTTGCCCCTCTGCGGCATCTGCTGCAAGCCACAAGATCCAGCGATTTCCTCCTTGTGGGCTCGATAATTTGCTGGAAACTGCTGCAACCCATTTCTCCGCTGCGCTCTCTGAGCAATCTCACGTCCTCGTTCCCTGCATCGGCAGCGGGAACCGCGAGATCCGATTCGATCTCCGCTGCCGGGCTTTTTGCTCGATCCTCTGCCAAATCCAAGCGCGATTTATAGCCTTGTCCCGTGTAGGACTTTCTCGATTGTGTTCTTGTATTGCAGGTTTTGAGGCATCCATCCCATCCATCCCAGCACAGCACAGCGCAAAACAAATGCCCGGAAACGCGTCGAGTTGGGCATTTGTCAATTCTCCTCCTCCATCTCGGAAATAATTTGGAGAGCGCCAGCCAGCATCAAAACACCCAGTTTCCTTTCGTTTTCGTTATCGTTTGCTTCCTCTTGAATTGAACCAACATCTCGTCCTGGAATCGCTCGTCCTTTTGCTGTTGCTCTCATCGATTTCTTCTTTTTTCGGGTCTTTTTTCCTCATTTTTTTCCTCCATCTCTCTTGCCCTTCGTGCAACAGCCTGGATCGAGCTCCACGCAGACAGACCACCCACAAAAATAGAGAGAACTTCGCAAAGAACTACAAAGAGCCAGGGCTTTGGAGCTTTTCTTTTATACGCCCGCTACGAAGGGAGCGTATCTTCCTCTGTCTTGGCCAGGAGAAGCAGCGCGAGATCTCGTTCTTCCTCGTACAATCGCAAAGAAAAAGGAGTACGTAGAAAAAAAAGGGAAAAAAAACGTTTTTTTCTCATGGATTGACAAGCTTCTCTTCTACAGTTGGTTCTTCTTTCCTGCATTCTCGAGGAAAGGATGGAGTTTCGAAAGAGTAGAGCGATTGTTCTTGCCGGGATTGCTCTCGTGATTCTCGTCCAATTCTCCGCGGCGGCCGCGGCGGCGAATCCAGACGTGGATACGCTGCTCCGGATCAAGAGCTACATCCTCGACCCGCTCAACAAGCTCGAGAGCTGGAAGATCGAGTCCTCCCAGGCATCCGCGGCGCCGTGCTCTTGGCTGGGGATCACTTGCGACCCGCGGAGAAAAGCCCAAGATCGCAGCAACTCTTCCTCGAACTCGCCCGGCACCAGCGTGATCATCGCCATCGACCTCAGCAGCAGCAATCTCTCGGGCACAATCTCCCCGGAGATTGGATCGCTGGGCGCGCTCCAGAGCCTCAATCTCGCCCACAACAATTTCACGGGCCCAATCCCGCCATCGCTCGCGCAATGCTCGTCGCTCAAGCACCTCAACCTCAGTGACAATGCGCTCTCGGAGAAGATCCCAGCCGTCCTCTTTACGGGCCTCACACAGCTGGAGACCGTCGATTTCTGGATAAATTCCCTCACGGGAACGATCCCCCGGGAGGTGGGATATTCCCCGCGGCTGGAGCATCTTGATCTTGGCGGGAACTACCTCGAGGGTTCGATTCCCGCGGAGCTCTTTAACCTCTCCTCGCTGCGCTATCTTACCCTAGCGGGCAATTCCCTCGTCGGCTCCATCCCGGAGGAGATCTCCAGGCTCCAGCGCCTGGAATGGATCTATCTCGGCTACAATCAGCTCAATGGATCCATCCCGCGCGGCATTGGATCGCTGCGCGACTCGCTGCTCCACCTCGATCTCGTCTTCAACGATCTCTCGGGGCCGATTCCAGGGGATTCCATCGCCAATCTCTCCAGGCTCGAGTACCTCTTCCTCTACACGAATCGCCTCTCGGGCGAGATCCCAGCGTCGCTCGGCCGCCTCCGCCGCCTCATCTCGCTGGATCTCAGCAACAACACGCTCTCCGGCGCCATCCCGGGATCGCTGGCCGACATTCCAACGCTGGAGATCGTCAATCTCTTCCAGAACAACCTCTCGGGGCCAGTGCCGGTGAGTTTCTCCGCCATGCCCAGGCTGCGCACCCTAGCGCTGTGGAGGAATGGGCTATCCGGGACTGTTGATCCGCGGCTGGGCACAGCCTCGAATCTAACGGCTGTGGACCTGTCCACCAATGCGCTCTCGGGCTTGATCCCTCCGGCGCTCTGTGCCAATGGGGGCCTCTTCAAGCTCATCCTCTTCGACAATGCGTTTGAGGGGCCGATCCCCGACGGTATCGCGCGCTGTGCCAGCCTCAAGAGGGTGAGGATCCAGAACAACCGCCTCACTGGGAACGTTCCCGGATCGCTACCGCTGCTAGAGGAGCTCTACTTCCTCGACATGTCCAACAATCGCTTGTCCGGGAGCATTGCCGGGCTGAATTGGAGCTGCCCATCGCTGCAAATCCTCTCGCTCCAGCAGAACTCGATCGAGGGAGAGATCCCCGCCGCGATCTTCCAGCTTCCAGCGCTGGTGGAGCTCCAGCTCGGCGCCAACGAGTTCCGTGGAGAGATCCCGGCCACGATCGGCGAAGCCCAGCTCCTCACCGAGCTGGATCTCAGCGGCAACTATCTCTCCGGCGGGATCCCATCGCAGATCGGGCATTGCTCCAGGCTTGTGTCCATCGATCTTAGCGAAAACATGCTCACTGGATCCATCCCGGCTTCGCTCGGACATATCTCCACGCTGAGCTCGCTGGATCTCTCGAGAAATCTCTTGGAGGGCGGGATCCCTGCGACGCTGGCATCGATGCAATCGCTGGAGTTCCTCAACATCTCCGAGAACAGGCTCTCTGGAGCGTTTCCTTCCTCCGGAGCTCTCTCGGCCATCGTCAACTCGAGCAGCCTGGCGGGAAACGAGCTATGCAGCACGACACGTCAGCTCGGCTTGCCGACTTGTCGGTCGCTAACGAGTGCCACGTACGCGCTGAGCTGGATCCTTGGTGTTGGGCTGTGCCTGTGCGTGGCGGCCGCGCTGGCCTACCTCGTCCTCCTCTTTCTCAATCGCCGGAGGCGTCACGTACGTCCCCAGCTCGAGGAAGATCTCAAGGCTTGGCATCTGGTTCTGTTCCACAAGCTGCGATTGAACGGCGAAGAGATAGTTTCGAGCTCCAGTTCTTCATCGTCTGACGTCTTCGTGGCCAGCGATCAAGGTGGCAACGTTTTTAGCGTGAAGAAGTTTCTCAGGAGCAGTGGTCTGGGCTCGGACTCCGAGCTGATGCGGCGGATGGAAGCGGTGTCGAGGCTCCGGCACGAGAATGTGGCAAAGGTTCTGGGGATTTGCACGGGGAAGGAGTCGGCTATGGTTCTCTTCCAGCATTTGCCGCAAGGTAGCCTTGCTTCGGTTCTCTTCCCCGGGGAGAAACCAGACGCTGGCGCTCTGGGATGGAACGAGAGGTATGACATTTGCCTTGGAACAGCGAGGGGGCTCGCATTTCTTCACAGCAGGCCGGAGCGGATCCTCCACGGGAGCCTCTCGCCTCACTCGGTGTTCCTCGACGTCAGCTCAAGGCCAAAGCTTCTTGTGGAATTTGCAACCTTGGAAGGCCACTGCTGCTACTTAGCTCCAGGTAACAAAGAAGAACTTCCAGAGTTCTTTTCGTTCTCGGACTAAAATGTTTGTTTCGTCACTTGCAGAACTGAGCCATAGTAAGATCTTGACCGAGAAGACGGACGTCTACGCATTTGGGATCACTGTTCTAGAGCTCCTCACTGGGAAGCAAGCCAGCAAGAACAAAAGTGGCGGCAGAATCGCGGATTGGATCGAACGCTGCATTGTCGAGAAAGGTTGGCAGGCTGGAGACCAGATTCTGGACGTGAGCACGGCGGGACACTCTCCTCAGGTGGATGCGGAGATGATGCGTGTGGTGAAGATCGCGCTGTGCTGCACAAAGCCATCGCCGGCCGAGAGACCTGCAATGGCGCAAGTTGTCAAGCTTCTGGAAAATGCCAGGCAAAGTTTGCCGAGGTTGGTGCAAATGATGGAAGTTTAGAGCAAGCTTCTTAAATAGAATAGGATTTGAGCTTATGAATCATAAAAGGCATCTGGTAATTTCTTTAGCTTTGAACTTCCAGCTTTGAACTGTTTAACATATACCTGTCTTCACAAGACACCCATACCGAAAGGGAATGGATGAATTACAACCAGATAAAACTAAATTACAACATAAAAAAATTAAATAATTAAAATATTTAATAACATATTGTGAGTGCATGGAATATGGAAATAGAATATAGAAATGTGTGTATTACTTAGCTTAAAAATTTTAATTTATATACAGAAGCAAATGGTTCAAATTAAAACCAATTTAATGGTTACCAAAATCCTATTACATTAGTATTATGGAAAACAATTAAAATTTTCTTGTGAACAAACTAGGATTCGATCTGGAAGAACATCAAAAGGAGGCATTAGTGGATTTGTAGGTGGTCTCAATTGTTTTTAATCCCTTTGTATGAAGCATTTCAACTATTATATATGCATAATTTCTAAAAAATCCACTTGTAAATTCGTCGAGTACATCCTATACTACTACTTCTCTCCCATATATACTTTGTTACGAACAAACAATAAATAACTTGAAAGTGCTTTTTTATTACAACAAGTTTGCTTCAAAAATGTAATGGAGAGCATAACAACAGAAAGTTAAATTCTCTCTCCAAACCATACATCTTTAACACCACTATACTTTAACGAGACATGCTTAATACTCCACTTTATCTCCGGATCCACTTTCACTAACTATGGCATCCCAAAAATGAAATCCATATAATGGATATTTGCGAAATAAAAAATCTCCACAAGTGTGGTTTTGCCAACCGTCACTTCCAGCCCCTCTACACAAATATCGAAATGTTGAGCAAAGGTAATTGCACCTTCCACCATATATGGAAAAACTCCTTGTGTCACTAGACTATGCTTCGCAATAAACTTTGCAAAAATAAAATTGTCATCGCTCCCATTATCCAATAAAATCCACATTAGACCGCCATAGAATATGCCCTCTAGCATTAAAGTTGCTTCTCAAGTTCCATCTTATTCCACACACAGTTGAGTTAATGAACAATGATCGAAAGCCTTTTCCTTTGACCAAAATGGTCATCCTTGTTATTTTCACATTGCAAAGTTTGCAACTTCTTAGTTTCTAACTTACCATCAGTAGAAGATTGGCCTTTTTGTTTGCCTTTTTGTTCTTCAATTGTGGACAATCAACTTTGTAATGTTCAAATTTGCCACAATAATGACAACCCTATTTATAATTCTTTACAAAGAACTTCTACTTCTTTGACCCCTTTGCATCTAAAGTAGCCACCACAAACTTTAATTTGTGGTGTTTGTTCCCATCTTTGTGTCCACGGTGATCATCGTGACGATTCTCGACAAAAGGACTCCTTAAATGCTTGCAAGATTTATGCTTGTCATTGTTAAGCTGACGAGCCATATCAAAGAGTTCCTCCAAACTCTTTGTAAGTTAAGAATGACGCAAGTGTTACCGTATGCTCTCACTATGAAGGCCATCAATGAAGTAGGACTTATTTTGATTTGGATAATTCGCTAGAACACTTGTAATCAAGAGAGTAAGCTTCTCAATATAATCCCCAAGCATCTTTTTCCTTTGCTGAAAATGTTAAAATTTTGTATAAGCATTCTCCACATCATAGTGAGGGGTAAAATATAAACAAAAAGCAACCTCAAACTCATCCATGGTAAACACTAGTGGTTTCTTATTCACAACACAAGACTCCTCAAATCAATTCCACCTCCAAAGACCCACATCATGCAAAACCACTAGAATAGCCACTAAAGCCTTTACATCTTGAGTTCCTCTAGCAGTTAAAAACTTTTTCATATTGGCTAGCCAAACAAACCACTCGTCCACACCACCATCACCAGAAAAGATTGGAATATTGAGTCAATTTACCAAGGAAAGCTTACTTGGAACACCACCACGTTTAGCCTCAAGTGCCTTAACACACTCATGCATGGTATCCATTATGTCATGCATCTCATTTTGCATCTTTTACTAATTTTGATTAAGGGTTTGTAGTTCATGAACAACATCTTGAATGGTCCAAACCTCTACAGTTCCATCCGCACCATCATCGGTAGTAAAATTCTAATGTTTAGTTTGGTTGGCCATCACAACCAACCTCTTTGATACTAATGTTATGATCCGGCATAAAAAAGATAAAGATTTAGTCTTCCTAAACTATGCTACACCTTCTCTTAAAGTACCTACCCCCGAACTACCTCAAAAGCTCCTTTTGACTGATGCTGACCACGTGGTCAAAGCTAACACCTAACACTCAACCATGTTGTGATGCTCTATAAAGTTGGTGATCCTTAGCTGCCAACCAATTACAAATATATTATGGTGAATAGAATATTTTCCAAGTTGTATGCCAAGCAATAGCTTTTTGCATGGGTAGGGACTAGACATGGAGGAAGACTAGCTTTTGCCCACAATGTAGCTATACTGACCACCTCTTAATGAGTTGTGGCTTGCCCACTTTGGGCATTGGCAACTATTAAATTGACTTAAGTTCTCCATGAGAATGTGGTTGATAATTGCTAAATTCTGGAAAACCTTGTTAGCAGCTCTCATATTGGAATAACACTATTCCACATATTTGTTAATGGTTTTACTCAAAATTAAAGAGAATGATTCAAAAGATTATTTATAAAGGTTTAATTATAAAAAGAAAGGGTCATAAACAATAATGCACCCTTTTTCCAATCAATTAAAAATCTTAGGATATTTATCTTTGAATTTGTTATACTTAAGACTTTAGAAAACATCATAACAATCCCCAAACCAAAGATGAAACAGAATAATTATGGAAAAAGGAAATGCAAGAACTTGACTAGAAGCTATATTCTATGATTGAGAAAAATTCTAATTTGAATTCCTTTCTAGATAGAGTGAGAATTTTGCAAAGAAAGAGAAATAAAAGAGAGTGTGTGATTGAGAGGCTCAATAATTTAGAAGTTGGAATATATTATTCTCTAGGGATGGTAGTGGATATGCCTAGAATATATTTAAATATTCTAGGATATTCTACCATCTAACGGTTGTTATTCATTTAGATTAATCTTGTCTTTATTCCTAAACACTTTCTAGTATAATCTTTTGGGTTTTTTTAAGCAATTCTATAGGGAGTGGGGTGGTAGTGAATATACCTAAAATATGCTTGTGGATATTCTACCATCTAATGGTTGTTATTCATTTAGATTAATCCTATATTTATAATTTATAAATATGTTTATAATTTATAAAAATTTAAAACACTTCCTAGTATATTCTAATTTATTCTACCATCTAATGGAATAAGATTAATTTTATGTTTATAAATTATAAACATGTCTATAATTATAAACTTCTATTTGATCAACTAGATTAATAAATAGAAATAACACTACTATTAAGCAAACCAAGTGACGCATAGCAAATTATTTATTCTACCATCTAATAGCAATAATATTAATTTTGATTTACAAATTATAAATTGTGAGGGCCAAGTGTACGGTTATGATGTCGTATACTAATATTAGCGTACTGGGATTTTGGTAACCGTCAGATTGGTTTCAATCTGGACCACTCACTCCTGTATATAAACTAGGGTTTTTAGGCTAATTAATATGCACATTTCTGTATTCCCTTTCTTCCATATTCCAAGCACTCACATTGGTGGAGTTCAAGGGCATTTTTGATTGTCTTTGAGGAGTGCTTGGATTTGGGATTTTGGTTTAGATCTAGCTTTTGCATTATCTAGATTTAGCTTTTTCTATTTCCTTCTTTTTGTTCTTTCCTTTTAGGATTTTGGTTTAGATCTAGCTTTTTGCATTGTCTAGATCTACCATTTCCTTATAGCTTTTTGTCATTTCTCTTCTTTTGCTCTTTCTTTTTCATTCGTCTCCATGACAAATCAGCAATCTCCTCCTTTGACTCTCGAGCAGCAATTGGTCCACTTGCTTGATGCTATGTGCTTGCAATTGAACAACCAAACTCAATTGATGGCGACATTCACGGCACGTGGTCCAACTCCTCCTGCTCTTGGTGCCAATCCTCGCGTTCGGTCGGAGTTCTTTCATGGGAATCCTGGGGATGATGTGTACCATTGGTTTAATCACTTCACGGTGATTGCCACATATCATTCTTGAGATGATGCTCGACGGTTGCGTGAGTTTCCCACGTGTCTTCAAGGGACGGCATTGCAGTGGTACAATGGTTTGAGCGCAGCCACTCGTGGGGATTGGAGTGTTCTCCCGGACGTCTTCAAACGCGCCTTCGGACATGCCGATGATTGTGATGATGCTTTCCAACAATTGCATCGTCTTCACCAAGGGCCATCTGAGTCGGTGATGCAATTTGGCGTTCGTTTCCGAAGTCTTTTGCTTCGTGCGGAGCCAAATATGTCGGAGCGGATCAAGCTAGGAATGTTGTGGCCAGCACTTCGTCAAGATTTTGTCGGACTTGTGCATGCACTTGCTCCTACCACCCTTGATGATGCTCTTCGCTTGGCACAACGTTATGAGACATTGCCTCTTCCACTTCCTTCTGCACGTCATCATATGGGTGATGGTCTTGTTCCAATGGAGGTTGATGCTGCTTCTGCTCAAGTCCAAGGACAATCACGAGGACGTGGTCGTGGCCGTGATGTTCGCTGTTGGGCGTGTGATGAAGTTGGTCATACTTATCGGCATTGCCGTCGTTTTCCGGATTGGCGACCTCCATTTCCTGGGTGGAGACCTTGGCGTCAGCAACGTCCCGTGGGTGCTGCTGCAGTGGAAGGTCTGGACACCGAGATGCATCCGGGAAACGAGGAGTCGCGCAAGTAATGGAGGGACCTTGCGTGAATAAGTTAGTGACCCCTCCATCTTTCTTTTGGGAGTATCATCAAGGGGTTCACTCGGCACCGGTTCATCCAGTGTTTACTTTCCAAGCTCGTTTTTATAACAAGAGGTCTCCTATTATTCTCTCCGTGTTGGTTGATACAGGTTTGAGTTTATCTTCTATTGCTCGACCTGTTGCCACACGTTGTCGTTTACATTTGCGTCG